ATTGTATAGCTCACTCTGTAATAAAATTGTTTCCTAAAACCTGCTTACTATTACATTTCTCAGTCAATCTGAGTATCTTCTGTGCATTGTCCCTGCCATCCTGCCACTCACTCGGCAGCCCACTGGCACCTCTAGTAGTTTCTAGAAGTGTCACTCATTACATTAACACACAGACATCCTCCCCTAGATATCCTAAGGGCACCACAAACTTATATACACATATCTAAAATTAACTTCATTATAACTTCCACAATCTTCCTCCAAACTTTGCTTGCCTCCTTTTTGTAACTTCAGTGTGTTATACTCATCTACCTTCTCTCCCAAGATACGTGAATGAGAAATGCCTTTTCCATTCTTCTAGCCAATAGAAGAGCAAGTATCATTAATTCTACCATTTCCACAATTTCCACTACTCCCTGAATTTTGTATTACTAAATTGTCCACTAATTCTGAAAGGTACTGCTGCTGTGTTTACTATCATTATCCATATCTTAAGTAATATAATTTCCCTAATAGTTTGGATTCAAGCTTCTCCTTCATTTATTTAGGTAAAAAATAACCCTAAGGGGATTCAGATAAGTAATCAATCTCATCACACTAACTCTCTCATTCTTAAAAGTTTTCCTTGAGTCTCATGTAGGCAAAAAGAGCCAGACTTTTTATTCAAGTTGAAATTCATCTAATTGGTGGTTTATATTTTTCAAGTATTATCTTCTATTCACAAAACTAGTGAACTCTACTGCAACTACTTGAACAACTGTTTTCTTCCACTTAAAATGGCCCATTCAATTGTTAAATTGTCTGTTTTGTTTCCCTGGCAAAAACTTCCTCAGGGAAAAGCCACCCACTTCAAATTAACTGTCACTTCCAAGAAGCTCACATTCTGATGTTGTCTGCTCACTCCACTTTCATGTCTCTGAAACTCTACTTCTTTTGCATTTCACAACCTTTATTTTTTGCCTTCTTTAGGTTATATATCAATTTAGATATTGGACACCAATCAAGACCATCCCTTTTTCTATGTCACTATATATATACATATATATATATGTATATATATATATATATAAAATGTCATTACTATAGGCATCTATATTTGTGTAAATGAGGGTGAAGATGGGCAGTGGTGACTCACACCTATAATCCTAAGGAGGCTCTAATCTTCTCCAGTCAACCAGCACAATGCTGGAAGGGTGGGTCAGTGTTAGAGCTCCACTTAGAACAGAAGAGTTCAAGTGCCAGTACCTGACAAAACAAACAAGAATGAGAATGAAGTAAATGGGTTCAGAAGAAGAGTAGAGTACTCAAGATAACTATGTAATCCAAGCTTTACTAAAAGTTAGTAACATCCTCTTGGGGATCCAGTGGTGGCTGCTGGGATATGCTTACTTTGAGAAAAACTTGAGCACAGTTAGGCTTTGGAACGTTGATGTGCTAATGTTTTACCCCAATAAAAATTTAACAACCAAATTCTCACTGCATAAAAGCCTTTGGCAATCACATAGAAAAATAACTTCTTCTATACAGTCTTTCTCCACTAAACCCTCCCCCACATTCTCCCAGGAACTTTTGGCCACGAAGTATACTCCTTTCTTCTTTGTAACTTTTATAACTTCATTTCTCAATGTTTTCTCATACCAAAATAAACTCTCATGTCTGCATTTCATCTATTTATTCATTTTGTTTTTCCTTTGCCTTTGAGGATTGGTTGGTTACTCATATTTTTATTTTATTTTTTATTTATTTTTTATTGTGAAAATACTGTACAGAGGGGTTACAATTACGTGGGCAAGATAATGAGTACATTTCTTATCAAGCATTGTAGCCTCCTCCTTTGTTTCCTCTTCCGATCCCTTGCTCAGTTTTTGAACCAAAAGTTACTGATAAAATCACTTTGCAACACTAAGTGTCATTTATCCCAGAGAAAACAAAGCATATCCAAAGACTCTGAAGCAGTCACAAGCAACAGATCAACACATAGATAAATATAATTATTCATATCCTTTTACCATCATGAAAATATTTAGGGTCATTTTTCTTTATAATACCTTAAACTTCTCTGCTTTCTAAAATCTTAGCAGAATGATTTGCATTTATAGAAAATATTGCACAGATGGTTTTAGACAAACATGACCACATTACTCTGAACCTCAGGTAATTTTACAATGGCTAGACCTGTGGATTTCATTCCTGGGCCTGAAATTGTATGACATTAAACATTCGCAGTGTATAGTGCTTAGCTGTTGTGGTTAGCAAATTATAAATTAGGTTTAAGAATTATTGAAATTAAGCTGGGCACCGGTGGCTCATGCCTGTAATCCTAGCTATGGAAGAGGCTGAGATCTGAGGATCACGGTTCAAAGCCAGCCCGGGTAAGAAAAGTCAGTGAGACTCTTATCTCCAATAAACCACTAGAAAACCGGAAGTGGTACTGTGGCTCAAGGGATAGAGCGCTGGCCTTAAGCTCCTATCTCCAATTGAACACCAAAATGCCAGATTCAAGTGGTAGAGTACTACCTTTGAGTAAAAACGCTCAGGGACAGCACCTAGGCTTTGAGTTTAAGCCCCAAGGTTGGTACACACCCACCCCCACCCACCCACCCACCCCCACATACCCACGTATCCATGTATACACACACACATGCATGCACATGAAAATAATAGCTAGGTATAATGGCCCTAGCCAGTATCCCCAGCTACTCAGGAGGCTGAGACAGAAGGATCATGTTCTTCCTGTGACTCATAGATGCCCACTCTGGGCATCTTAGATTCTGCTTCAAAATCAAAATTAAACAGGGCTGGGGACATAATGCAGTGATATTATACTTGCCTAGTATGGAAAAGCTCTAGGTTTGATCCTCAATATTATGTGTACAAGTGTACACACTCTCACCCACATAGAAATATAATAATTTTACTTTCTTCTTGAGAAGAATAACAGAGGTATTACACATCAAGTGTCCATTATTATATGTCAAACACCAGCTGCTTTCAGAGAAGATTCCAAGGAAGGATGAGAATGCCTTCCTTTACCACGGAAAGAATGGTGAGTATTTCAACTCAGATGGACACGAGCTGTAGCAGCAGCCTTAAAGGAAGTTGTTACATGACAGTTTCCATAGAAATAATATTTCCACAGAAATCAGAGTCCATCAAGACAAAGCAAAACCTCCAGCAAAGGAAAAGAGAAACAAGAAATCCTTTAAGAAAGAAGGCATTTCAAATACAAAGGAGTGAGGGAAGTGCATTAAAACTATTAATGAGAAATCACAGTAGCCAAAACAGATTCTTAATATTGGAGAAATAGTTTAGTGGAAAAATGGGGAGATGTCAAAGTATCCTAATATATACTAGGATTACAGCTATCTGACTGTTTGCTCTTAAGTTTTTGTAAATCAAGTAATTGTAAATCAAGTCATTTGTGTATTTAATTATTTCTCAACATCTTTATGTATGAGATACATTTATTTCTATTGGAAAGTGAGAAGGTTATGATTCCTGGGCATAAATAATTCTTCAAAAATCAGATAGCTTCTAATGAAAACTGTATCCCACATTCTATCCTGCTATGGAACCTATCTTACTGAGGCATACCTTCTGTCAGTTAAAATTCCTTGGTAATTTTTAAGATTACTTTTGCTAGTAATCATGTATTTGGTAATATAAAAATACACTGGAGATGTCAAAGCTCTTTGATTTTGACTGGATGCTTATGGATGGTGAAAATGTCTAGAATATTCTTGTTTTTGCAATAAAGTAATCAGAACATGGGGGCAGATGAGCTTGGAAAAATCTCTTAAACACAGGTTGGTGAGGGGTTCTCATCCACCACCCTTCACAAACTGGATTGATTCAAATGTGAAAAATTAGCTACCAAAACGTGAACTTCTGAAACATATACCATAGTATTATTTATGCTCACACTTAGAAATGTGAAACTAAAATCTAAAAACAAAGGAACTGAATAACTATTTGAAGATTTCGGACAAGAGATAGCAAGAAATTAAGAAAGAAGCAGGCACACTCTCCCTGTGGGCATCTGGATTTTCTGAGTTTCAGTGGCTAGCATGCAGCCATGACTCCAGTGTCCCTCTGCTATTGCACTATACAGATGGGACTGATTATATTGCTACATTTTTTGTTTAATCAAACAAAGACATTAGATTATACTCAAAACTCACCACTTACTAGTTCCATCATTTCTGGAAAGAATGTGGTGAGATGAGTGTCAACAAATCTCTTATTAATTTTAATAAAACTAAATCTTTTCAGAATTTACATATATATCAGTGTCATGTTTTCCTAGCCACTTGAGTCAAATTCTTTTAGGATGTGCCAGATTGTACATTAACCACCTTCTTGCTGACAAGACTAAAATGCAATTTTTGTTGTCCTGACTGTTGCCCATCCTAGACCCCCAAACTTTTGAATCAGGACTAATTAGTACCCTGAATACAAAGTTTTGTTAATAGCTGACTGAGTAACTCTGCTTAAGTTATGATTCTTGAAACAACTTAATGATGTATAGCAAAAATCATGCTATTTCCAGGTTTATTTATGTAAGATGGAGTTGTTGAATCAGCCTTTATGTATTCTTCTATTTACTGTTTGAATATATATGATGCCATTATTATGGGTTTTTGCTATGCTAACTGGCCAAAATTATAGAAAGGAGTAGAATGTAATCACTATCTTCAAAAATGTCAAGAGCAGTTCTATTCTGAGCTCATATGTTTCTTTTAACACAATGCCCTACAGAAACACATCCAACTTTTTTATTGGTATAAATAGAAAGAAATTAATCATATTAAATCTCAACAGAGTAAACACTTGATGATATATATCTTTCTTGTTGAGAATAAAACCTGTTTATCACCATTAAGTGTCAATACCTATTTATTTATATGAGTCCTCTTCTCTAACAAATTACACCCATTATTCCCATGACACAACTTATGTAAATTGCAATGCACTTGAAATGAAGTAATGAGTCCGCTTACTATTGCAAGTCTTGTTATATTTGCTGTTCTCCTGTGCAAACCCTTCCAGACGGCACTGAAAACGATGCTGCCAGAATTCTTGAAACCAAGGGTTTCGAAGGTTTGTTTCTGGCCGGAGTTTCAGGTAATAGTCATCAAACCACTTGACATCAGGAGACTGGAGCTTGATTGTGATTCCACCAACAGCTTCTCGCTGATACCCATCTGTCACGTCATACCTGTCAGCCCAGCCATCACTGCGGAGAAACACAAAAACCTCTTCTTAGAACAGAAATTTTCTGAGGAAATGAGATTTGGGCTTGGCACTTTTTTTTAAGCTTGAAATATTAGTCATAAAACTGCTACTTCAGACTGTACTCTAGGTGAGAGTCAAGACAGCAGATTATTAAAAAGCAATACCACAATTAAGATTTCAGGAGGCTAGAAGGCAGTAGACTTACTTGAACTGCATAAAATAAGTTTGAGATTTTGAAGAATTCTACTGGTTGCAAAATACAATGCATGAGTGAGGCACTGATGACCCACACCTGTAATCCTAGCTACCCAAGAGGATCTGAGGATCTGAGCCTCTTGAGTAGCTTATCTCCAATTAAACACCAAAAAGCTGAAAGTGGAGCAGTGACTCAAATGGTAGAGTGCTGCCCTTGGACAATAAAGCTAAAGGACACTGACCACAGCCTGAGTTCAAATGCTAGCACTGGCACACACCTCTAATACCACAAGTCATAGTTTTTATTGGCTGTTTAGTACCTAGGTCAAGTTAGCTTTCAATATATTCTTTTCTATTTATTTATTATTTATTACTTTGTTGCCAGACCTGGGACTTGAAGCCAGGTACATAGTGCTATCCCTGTGTCACTGGAACCCAGCTTTCTTTTTTATTTTACTTTTAAAGTAAATTTTAGGTGAATTATAGTGAGAAAACATTTCTATATCAGGTATAACATTAATTTGCTCCTCATATGACATAATACTTATTTTTGTTTATATTATGGAAGAGAATTAGACAAGGTTAAAAAGAAATCGACCTGATTATAGTCCTTCTATTATGGGCTGATTTGTCAAAGCCTCAAACAGAAGTATTTATAGTCCACAACCCATATATTCTTTCTTATCCTCCAATGTAATTAATATATATATATATATATATATATATATATATTTGAAATTGTAGTAGAGTATTTGAAAGGACATCTTTACAATGAGACATCAAGGATGATGACTGGGTCATACCTCAGAAGTACTGTCATTCACTCAAAGGAGCAATTTAGGAATTTTAAAACAAAAGTTGAAATTATATAAATTTTGTCTTGGAATAAGAGAGTCTAAGAGCATAAGGAAAAGTATTCTAAGCTTATGGCAAAATTCATGAAACATAACTCTGAAAATAAAACACACAAAAATATATTTAATTTTGAAAATGAACTATACAACTGATGGGGGAGAAGCAGGGAGGGAAAATGTGCGAGAAAACAAGGGAAAATGTGACACTGTTTAAAAAGAAATGACTTATATAACTATAACCTCTCTGGACCTCACCTTTAAATAACAATCAAAAACAAATTAATTAAAAATACATGTTTAAATTAAATTTGGATACATTCCATGTCATGCAGGAAAAGTCTCTGATTTGCTCATCTGCTCTCCACCTGGGAAATATACAAACTTTTTGCCTGGTTTCAGAGATGTTGACCTTCTATCAAAGATATGTACATTCTCTAAAGAAATGTTCTAAAAGTATAAAGAAAATGAAGAGACATTGTAACAATTATGAACATTTAACACTAAAGAAGTTCAAAAGGAATGAGGCTTGGTAGCTCCTGAGTGCACTCAGGAAGTTTGAACCTGAGCTGGTGAGTGGAGAGGGAGTGGGAACTGCGCACAGGTTAAGATTTGCATTATTGATCATTGTTTATCTTCATCAGAATGCATTTTTATCCTTAAACTCTCCCTTTTAGGCAGAAAACATAATCTAATATTTTAAGTATAAAAATCTATACTAGGGAGAGTAATATATGAGTAAATAACACAAAACAGAGCACTTTTTTTTTCAGTATGCTCTGCTTACAGTATCTGAGTTAAGAAGTGGTAATTAGGAGTTGTTCCAAAGGTTATAGATTTCTCATTAAAGTACTCTAGAGGTTGGTGGTGATGAGAACATTTTAAGGCATCAGTGGGCAGGAGAGGAGAAAGAGAAATAAACAAAATGAACCATTTGTTTCTTCAAAGTTTCCTTGACATGAGCGCTCATTAAAAGTTATCTATGGTGAAATTTGAAAAAAAAGAAATGTGGCAGATTAGGGGAAAAAATGCCATGCAATATGTTTTGTCCCAATGTTGAATTCAGTTATTTCACACATTATCTTCCCTCAAGTTTCTCGTTTTCAGCTCCAGAGATTTTTATTTAAAGCTGACAAGTTGAAATGAAGTGGGCTAGTTTGCCTCATCTTCCCTGTGTTGTGGAGGTTTGTTATATCACTGGAATTAGAGTATAGGTCTCACTGGCCTCCAGGGGATGCATGGGCATTCTACCAATGGGACAGGAAGCTATGTTTGTCAAGTACTTAGGAAGTGGAAATTTAAATGGTTCTTTTTGTTAATGTAGCTCACACTTATGTAATGCTCTGATTATGAATATTACATAAGGGATGGAAGATTATAATAGGTCCAATTTACCCTTCACCATTCATTGAATTTAATAGGGATTGTAAAAATCTTTTCTTGATCAACTAACTTATATGCAGGTAATATTTGCATAGAAAAGGTGTCAGGCCTAGAGAATGTGAATTTACTCATCAGTGTGCTTATTTCATATTCTTTACCTTTGATTTCTTAAAGTATCTCTAAGTTTAAAAAGTTACAAAAAGATGTTTTATTATTTGCCTTCTAAGTTTGGGTTGGAAATTTAAAATAATCATTGTTTTAGACACAGTTGACAAAATAATAAAAATGACAAAAGAATAATTATATCACTGGATACTATATTGAAAATGAACTATCCAACTGGGAGAGAACAAGGGAAGGGGTGACATTGTCCAAAAAGTAATGTATTCTTTATCTGACTTCTGTAACTGTAATCCCTCAGTACATGATCTATAATAACAATATAACTTTTCAAAAAGAATCATGTGTCAAAACAGGATGATTCTTTTAAAACTTATTCAGAGTATTTGTAGTGTAAAGATCATTGGATGCTGCTAAATTAATTAATTTAGTTAAGATTATTATAAATATGTATTTAAAGCTTTGTTTAAAGTGTTAGAGTATCTCTATGTAAGGACTAATACTACAAATGTGAAATAAAATGCTAAGGAAAACTTAAATTTATATTCTACCACCTAACACTTTCCATCAACCCTTCATTATGTTGGCACTATTATATGTTAAATGACACATATTTTAACAAAGCAAAGGAGAAGGGGAGGGAGATAGGGAAAGAAAGTAACATTTGTTGAACACTTAAGGCATTTTTCTGGATTCCGTCCATGCATCCATCTATCCATCCATCCATCCATCCATCCATCCAACCATTTGTATCCTTCCATCAATTCATCCTTATAATTTATCTTTTCACTAGTGTGCATCTTGGTTAACTCCTGATGGTCGGTTTCATACTTTTCTTTCCAATTTTCTATGCATGGTAGACTATAAGTATTTATAGACTATTCACAGATTCAGAAATCAGGGTGTAGTTCATCAATACAACACTTGCCTTGCACATACAGAGCTCTGAGTTTGAGTTTCAACATCACAAAAGTAATATTTGCAAAAGTTTATTTTGTAAATATTTGCCCAAAGTTTATTTGCAAGATCAAAATCAGTTCTGGTTTTCAGTTACTCACAGAGATACATACAGAGAAAGAAATACCCAACTCTCCAGACATGCATTTTCTCCTTTGAGGTTGAACAAGGTAGCCTTCTTTTTCAGACCTAATACAATAAGTTGTGTTTTTTTGGCATTCTATTTAGAAAGTTTTTCATATTATGTGAGCTTTTAATATATTATAGCAGATAATTTTCATACAAAAATGAATACAATTCATTGCAAATTTTGTGTTAATCAAGCAATATGTATCAAGTAAAAAAATATTTTTTAAAAATTGTTTTGTTAGCCAGGCACCAGTGGCTCACACCTGTAATCCTAGCTACTCAGGAGGCTGAGATCTGAGGATCGTGGTTCAGAGTCAGCCTGGGCAGGAAAGTCTGTGGGACTCTTATCTCCAATTAACCACCAGAAAACCAGAAGTGGCACTGTGACTCAAAAGGTAGAGCGCTTGCCTTGAACTGAAGAGCTGAGGAACAGCACCCAGGCTCAGAGTTCAAGCCCCACAACTGACAAAAAAAATTGAAAAAAAAACTGAAAAAATTGTTGCTATTATAAAGGTGATGTACAGAGGGGTTACCTTTACATAAGCCAGGTAACTTTTTGGACAAGATCATCTCTTCCCTCACTCTCTCCTAATTTTTCCCTCCTGTCCCCACCCACAAGTTGTATAGTTCATTTCAATGTAATATCTACTGATTACCACTGCTGCATTTATTCATCCTTTGTCCCCCAATTTCTTTAAACAGAATCATGCATTACACAAATTTGCCTATTGACTAGACTACTGTGCATAGAGTTTATAGCTACCTTAGCATATATTTCCTGTTAGTACTTCCTGTCAATATTTCTTTGTCAGTACTTACTAAATTTGTATTTACTACATGTTTGTAGGAACATTCAGTGAATAAAAAGATGGATATGCAGAAGGATGAGGAGAAGGGGGAAGGAAAAAAAGACAGAAAACACAGTAAATATGTATGAAGTAAATATGTATGAAGACAGCATTAGAAATTTCATTGAAAATTATTGATCTATAGGGAATTGGGAAAGAAAAAGCAATAGACAGGGAAAGAAGGTAGTAGAGAGGATTATTCTGAGAAAATCATTTTATGTACATCTGAAATACCATAGTGAAACCCCTTGGTGAAATTAATGTATATTTAAAAATATATTCATGTCTATTATATATTTTTAAAAATATATATTAATAAATTTAAAAAATGAGCTGACTGTTGGTGGTTCATATCTTTAATCTGAGCTACCAAGGAGACTGATATCTGAGTATGGAGATTTGAAGCCAGCTCAGACAGGAAAGCCTGTAAGACTGTTATCTCCAGTTAAATAAACTGGAGATAATAAATGAATGAATGAATTAAATAGGAAATAAAATTTTAAAAGGCCAGAAGAAAA